GGAATCCAGAAAATAGCATCACAGTGATTCTGAATCTCTTTTCAAATGATGATGATGATGATGATGATGATGATGGAATGATGAAAAGCTTATTATCTTTAAATCTTTATCTCTCAAGATAAGAATCATGATGATGCAGATGAAAACTAGTTACTCAGCAGCAGGTAAACATGATGATGATGAGCAAGTTAAAAATGCAAAATAAGATACAAAGAGATGTAATAATATATAAGAAAAAAAAAATTCTTTCCATATGTAATAATACATAAGATTCAATAAAATAATTTGACTTGCATATTATCAAACATGGAAATCTGAATAATTTTGAATACAGGATGAAAATTTTGTTCCTACAGAACTTTCACTCTCAGCAATTTTCTATCAGTTACCGATGTTCATCTACGATTCGATTTTGATTTGTTCTTTTTTTATCTTTTCAAATGAAAGAACATTTTCTCCATGTGTCACTTGTTTTCCACACATGAGAATTACATAAATTAACGAATGGAAGTCCTGATGTTGGAACTTTATCCGTCTACAATTGACATAATTATCGACAATTACCATGGATAGAATTGGCGAGCATTACATTTGAGACAAAATTCTGTAGAAAAAAAAGGAAATGAAAAATTCTAAAATCAGATAAAGTTCTGATTTTGATTATGTTCCTTCATGCTAATAACCTTTTGACCTCGAAAATTGAAATATTAGTGTTAGTTAAAAGTTATCATCAAGTTAATCATCATTAACTTCATCATAATTTGGTGTGAAGAAAAAAATATAAACAATGTGACAATGTTTTTGATGATAATTCCGACAAATGTCATCATGATATAAATTATTTTCATCTTGTTAGGTTCAATTCTGGACAATTTAATTTGTTACAAGTAATTTAATACAAGATGATGATGAAAAAAAGAGATGAAGACAAAATATCAAAATCAATTTTTCTCACTGAAAACTCATTTGAAACACTTCATCACCATCATCATCTTTATCAAAGATGAGACAACAATAACAATCAAATATAATAATATCATCATCAGTCTGTTATTATATTATGATTGTTATTATGGAATAGAAAAGAAAACAAAAACTTCTGATAATAATAAATCTTGGAATGAACTTTTTTATCTGATTTAAGATGACAAACATGAGGAAGATGATTAAATAAATGAAGGGATTGTTTTCTCTCTCTCTCTCTGCCTGTAATTATGCCCGAGGCTATGAATGTATTATCAATGTTAATTTCTTAGTTTCCATTTCATTCTAATGAAGCTATTCCTTACAATTTAGTCTTTCAATTCACTTGAGATTTTCTAATCTAATTCAGTTATCATCATGATGAATTCATGAAAAATTTATATCATGATCAACTTAAATATGACAATGATGCTGATGATGAATAAAAAACTCATTGTTATATAATATAATTGCTCTTCCAATGTTAGAGGCTATTCATCATCACCATGTTGTTAGGGTGAAATTTTTGTTCAGTACAATGATGGTGAAAGTTATTATCACCATGAAAAGTAGAGTCGGTTATCATTTACATCCTGAATTAAGATCCATTTCATTTATCTTACTCATGATTTCATCTTTAGCATCATGAGGTTGGATGAATTTACTGTTAATTGTTACCTTAATTGAAATAGTTGACAGAAAATATTTAAAGTTTTCTTGAAACTGTTTTATCCAATTGACAGTTTTCATTGAGAAAATTTCATTCTCACCCTTTATTCAGATTCAATAATCGTGAGAAAAGTTTTCATGTTCAATGAACTTTCGGTTATATAATATTCATCTCTTTATATGCAGAATCATCTTGAATTTCTGGGTTCCCTCAATTTTGATCTAGATCGATTTTGATCTGAGAAGATGATGATGATGATGCTGAGAACGATAATATTGTCATCCTTTATCATCATCATTATCATCTCAGTGTATTTTAAGTGTATCTTTTAGAAACTTTTTTCTTCACTTCCTTGTCTTTTTCAAGTCATCATCTTATTCATTTTTACTCCTCAATGTTACTCACAACTTATCTGTTGATAGAGAGGAAAATAAAGCGAAGGAGGAAAGGATGATGATGATGAAGACGATAAAGATGAAGGAAGATGAAAGTTTCAAGAATGAAATTGGTTATCGATTTTGTAACAAGAATATAAAAAAAAAGAGGAGATAAAGTTTGAAACTTTTTTTTTACTTCCATGATAATAGTTACCAAAAAGATTCAGAATCTGAATGAATTTTACAAAGAAAAACATTCAGAGATGTTACCATGTATTCGGGGACACTGTTGACATCATTATCTGATTGTTGGAATAGTTTAATTCCAAGTTAACAATATTTTTTCACCAGATTAGAGTCAAACAATCAGATTAATCGTTCCTAATCTTAATCGGTTGAAATTACTTTCAATTGTTATCCAAATGAGATTTTATTTTCCTCCTTCCATTAGAAATGATTAAATCATCTTCTTTTTGTTGTAAATTAAACTTTGTCTTTCCAATTAATTATTAATTAACTTTTCCACCTTTAATCTGATTGTCTGATATTATTTATATTCAATAATCAAATGCAACAATGTAAACAAATCCTCAGTTGATTGTTAACTGTTGTTTGACAATCAAATTGTCTATTGATTGAATTATTATTTATACACTTTTATCGGTTTTGCCTTTTTTTCTGTATCGTTGATTGTTTGATTTAGTTTGTTGACCTGGTTAACAATTAGATTAATTGTGTTGGTTTCTCCTCGTTTTCTTTCATCATTGAAATTCATTCATTAACTGATTGTCAACCGTTTGATATTTGATTGTCAAACCAATCAAACTGTTTGGATGAAAGAAAATGAAAATTGTACTCAATTAACATTGATTAGTTTATATTAATATCGTTTGACCGGTAAGTTAATTTAAATCCGATCATCATTATTTATCAAATGATTTATGGATTGTGTGTAATTTGATATAGCCAATGATCAACTTTGACAATTTAAATTGTGATTAAATTAACTTGATATTGAATGATCATGGATAAAGTTACTTTAATATTATATTGAAACTTTTTTTTTCTACTTTTCCATCAGAAAATATTGATCGAATAGAAAACTTTTTTTTTTCTTCTTCTTCTCGAATAAAATTGTGATTACTAATCATTGGTTATTCAAAATAGATCAGAATAATTCATGAGATTGATTATCATCATTTTCCTCATCATGATCATGATGATATTACTTTTTTTATTCTGAAACGTTTCAAGTTATATTTCAATTCTGAGTCTGATTCTGATTTCAGATTCTTTAATGATAACTATTGGTCTATTGGTGGTAATGATGATTGATATGATAATCAACATGACAAATTTATGATAATTAATGTAAACCAATTGAATTAACTTGATTGTAATAAGTTTAGCCAATCAATTAGATTTTTTTCTCAACTTTTTAAAACAAAAATTAATTCCTCGAAATAATTATCATGCTAATCAGTTCTCAATTTTCAATTGAATCAATTGAATAAACTTGAAATTACCTTTTTAAAATTAGTTAAACAATTAACATTTGATTATCATGATAATATCACAACAATTTGGTAAAGTGTTGGGTCAAATTATGTTGACAGTTTATTAACAATTGATAAATCACTTGAGTTTAATTTAGTAAACACAAAAGTTTCATGAGATTGATGATTAAATTTTCACTAATTTTTATCAACTAATTAACATTTAAAGTAACTAATTAATTGCCTATTAATATTTAGCTCAACAATTAACTCGCCGATAAAGTTGGAATAAGTTTATAAAGTAAACAAAATTAACTAATCACTTTACTAATTCACCTCTCAAAGGGATTATACCTGATGATTGATCATTAAAAAGCATTTGATTGCCACTGATTGTTACTAATTTAAACGGTTCTATAAACAATTTAAATTCAATATCCAATTGTATCAACTAATTACTTGCTAATAAGTTATGATAATCATAATGAGAGAGACTTGTGATGAGAAAAAAATGTTTTCTTTTCAGAGATATCGATAATATCTTTCACTGAACTTTTCTCCATGTAAAGAAAATAATATTATCTGATAAGCTTTTGATAAACTTGACCATTGAATGGACATTGAAGTTACTTATTTATCCCTTGAAATGTTATCCCTTTGAATAGCCAAGAGGAAGGAAGTTATTTGTAACAAAGAAGAAGAAAAAATCAAAAAGATAAACTTGTGAACATCATCATCACCCTGTGATCATGATTCTGGAACTGAATCTGAAATGTTATCCCAAATTGTTTGGATGAAAGAATCAACCATTTGAAAAGGTTTACTTTAAATTAGAAGGAAATTTTTGCTTCTCTCATTTTATTCTAAGTCTTTTCCATACAATTGATTGTTAATTATTGAATTAATCTCAAATTAATCAACAGAATTTTGTTGATCATCAAATGATTTATTAGTTCCCTGATTTGGTGACTCGAAATTTGAACAAATTAGCCGATTAACTGGATCAATTTCTACTCTAAGTGGAAATTATCAAATGATTAACTGTGGTTAATTGTATTCTAGTCTTGATTGTTCACTTCAGGCTAATCTATCATCACCATGACTTATCTTCATGCAACAGAAATTCATTTATTTTCAATATGTGAGTTGTGGTCAAGCGATTTACTGAAATGGTAACTTTTTTATTGTCATTTTCATACCTTGGACATGAACATTTGAATATTAAATAATCCGTTATGATTGTTTCAAAATTGAACATTATTCATGCTTATTGTTCAATTTAAATATTTCTTTCTCGTTTTCATGGGTTTACTGATCATTCTGATAAATTTTGATAAATCAATTTCATCGTAACTTTCAGAGTTTCATTGATATTTTCAACTTTTTATGTTTTTTCTTTGCATATCAATCATGTTGAATATCACAACATATTCACAATTGATTGAGATGAAAAATGATTTAAATAAAACACATTAAATTGTTACAAGTAATTGATTTTTAAATTACAGAAAAACTTTTCAATCAATATTTTCAATGGTTAAAGTTGTAATTGAATATCAAAATAAGTTTTTTTTTTCCTTCAATGATCAAAGAAAAGTGTTGTTTATGATTTAGGGAAAATTGACAAGATTAATTGCGCCAAGTTAAATAGTAAAATGATTAGTTGATTACAATTTTAGATGAATTTGGGATATTATTGAATTTCCAGAATATTATCACAATTTTAAGTTACATTTTGACCTTTTTTCGCCGATCGACTTAATGATTTTAGAACTTGTTTTTTAACTTCTTTCTGCTTAACGAATCTCCTTTCTTCAATTTTAGATAATAAATTCTTGTGTTTGGTAACACGAGCTTTTCGAGCGACTGCTTCCGTCTTTTTCTTGGCCTTGTGAACTGACCTAATCATCTTGACCAGTTTCGATATTTGAGCTTCCCCAGGTTCTTGCATAACTGGTAAATTAGCGACGGTCTTTTCCTTCTTGGGTATATACTTCATACGAGTTTTATAAGGTAACTCTTTCTCTAGAGCTCTCGATATTGTAAATGGTTTTGGCTCGAAACGTTTCCTTTCACCTTTGATGTATAAACTATCGGGATTTTGTTTCAATTGGATTCCTCTTTCATATCTAAGTTGACCAACCGTTTTCATCCCTTGCCATTTTTTACGTTCACTTGTGGTTAACAATAGATTAGGTACTGGAGTGTACAGTTTAGGCACTTCGACAGTGACCCATGTTCGCATGAAAACAATATCAGATTTAAGAAGTTTATCTTCAAATGTAGCTCTGAATGCTCCTGGTGGTGCTTTGATTGCTTTTTTAACTTGACCTCGAATACCACTGACCGTTCGGATGGCACCTCCTTCAAACTTGGTCACTTCTAATGACGAGTTGAACATGCCTTTGATGAAGGCAGTTTTCTTGAATATCTTCATAGGATAACCGACGAGTTTCAATTTTTTCATTATCGTTGTTGATTTATCTAAATTGGTGATAACTCCTGTTCCTGCTATTCTGAAATCGGGTAAAGTTTCATCGAGACTCTGTAAGGCCAATATACCAGTTCCTTGGGATGTCAAAGGTCCCCAAAAGGTAACATGACAGTGAAGATGCTGAGGAGTATATTTTAAAGCTCTATTTCTCATATTATGATCTTGGATTGCAAATACAGGTAAAGTTTGGAATCGTCTCCAGCCCACTGAAAGGATGAGAGGATCACGAGCTTTCAGAATCTTATTGTACCATCGGTGTTTCTTGAAACGAGCTTGAACATAACCAATATTACTTTCACCACTCAGTAAACCACCAAGAACAATTGGATAAGCTGGATCGAAATTTTCTACCAACTCGTAAGGTACATTTTCAATATCTATTCTAAGATACATTCCAGCTCGAAATCCTTCAAATTGGACTCTCAGTTCGTCGTCCAAATCTTCAAATTCTGATTTGTTGAGCTAAATTTGAAAGAAAGGAAATTGAATGAGTTTCATATATTTAAAATCGCGAATGAATTGTCAACTAATTAACGAACTCACCTTAGCTTGATGGTCTAATTCTTCTTTCCATTCATCATAGAAAGTTTTTTCTCCACTTTCACCTTCGCCTCCTTCGTCTTTATCTAGAGCACCTTGGTCGTACTTTTCATCGAATTTTCTTTTTCTCTTCTTTGAGTCTTCTTCTCTCTTCATCGCGTTCTTCTTCCGTTTTCTCAACCTTTTCGGGGCCAATATCATCAACATCGTCGAAATCACCTGGTCCAGAGTCACCAAAATATCCATCGTCATCATTATCATCTTCTTTTCCTTCAAGATCTTCAAAATCTCCATAAAGTTCATCATCGTCATTCTCTCCTAATAAAGTTTTAGCGTCTTCAGAACTTTCCCATTTTCCAGTTACAAAACAATCTTTGATCGAGTCTAATGTTTCCTCGTTCGACCAATCTTGTAACATTGTTGACGGAAATCTGGTACATTCGATTGAGTTGAGAGTATATTCCATACTGGTTAAGTCTTCATGTCGACGACGAATAGCTTTAAGGAGACCACCACCGAAATCAGTTCTCTCTTCGACATAAGTGTCATCTTTTAGATCGAAAGAATCTCCATAGACCAAACTTTGAATATCTTTAGTTGCATTTTGACGAAGATAGAATGATAAAGCTGCTCTAGCGGATAAATTTTCTTTCCATTTTGATGAACTCAATGCCATCAGATTTTCCTCATCATCTTCAGAATCATCATCGAATACCAATTTCTCTTTGTCATCTTTCAGATCATTTAATCCAAATCTAACTCGTCTTTTGGATTTTGATTGTTCATCATCACCACTTACATCATCTTCGTCATCTTCACTTTCCTCCTCTTCATCTTCATCTTCATCATCGTCGTCATCGTCATCGTCATCGTCATCGTCATCCTCTGATAAATATTCTTTACCATCATCATCATCCGATGAATTTTCTTCATGACCATCGTCTAAATCTGAATCACTGTCGATTTTTCCTTTAATTTGTTTATCAGATTCTTCCGAATCAGATTGGAAATCAGATGATGACCCTTCACCCGATTTGGTTGATTTTTTAGATGAAAATAGTTCAAATTGCTGATTGGCAACTACTTGATCAAGTGGAACTGCAGTTTTGATAATTGATTTAACTAAATTGTTAACACTTTCTCCACTTGTCTTATCTTCATTGTCTTTCTTCACAAAACTTGGATCCATATCAACATAAATCGCATCTTTATCATAAAGAACACCACCAACTCCAGAAAATGGAGCGTAAATTAGTTTATCTTTTTGGTTAACTGATCGTCGTTTTGTTTGCTTCACTTTATCCGGAAGTGGACATGGATCAGGTAAGAAGGTTATATTTCGAGCTTGAAAATCGCCACAACCTGGAATGTGAACTTGCTGATTGTTCTTGAAGAAACTGCCACGAGCAAACCCATAGAAAGTTACATTTCGATCACATTTAATATCAGCTTCAACTTGCTCTTTCTTGGTATTATCCTCAAATCGATCAACCAAAACATAAGGATGAGTTGCTCTCCATTGTAATGGACGGAACTTCATGATTGAAATGAAACGATGTAAATTTTTAACCTCATTCTTTAGGTAATCTCCTCGAACCAGTCCACTCAGGTAAAACAATTTAGCTCCAGCATAGACTTCAGTCCAGAATCGATGTTTCAAATTTTTCTTTACAGTTTTAAGTTTCTTGCTGTTTTTAAATTTATCCAAATGGGTGAGCACTCCCATTATCCGAGGAAACCCATGGACAGAGCAAATGTTTAAATATTCAAAGGTTTCAATCTCGAAACCAAAACTGGCATCAATGAGAAGAAGTGAAATATCACTAATCTTTACAGTGTCAATCATACTGTTAATATCATTGTTACATTCGATAAAGGTGATTCTCCTTTTCTTTGAGACAACAGTTATTGGTCCATGAATATCTTTAACAGTCCTATTGGTAATATGTTTGACCAGATTTCTAATTAAAGTTGTTTTACCAACACCATGAGATCCAATTAAACTGACAACAATTGGAGGAGGTTCAACGGGTGTCCTTTCCACCAGTGGAATATGTTTCTTTTTCTCAAGAAAATCTTCTTTATGTCGAAATCTTCTTTCAGCTTTTTTCGCTGATTTAATGGCAAAAGCTTTACTTAGACTTTTCTGTCCACCACCAGAATTTTCAATCTTTTGGTCATTTAATTTTTTCTCTTTCTCCTTTTTCCTTGGTTTCATACGTTTCTTTGGTCTCTCCTCAATACCGGCATCTCTTTTACCTCCAATCTTTTTAAAATTATTCACCATTTTAAAACAATTAACAACAATTACACAAATTAATCAAAACCATGAAACAAAAACAGCAACAAAATGATTGTTTATGTTTGAAGAAAACGTGGAATCGGCATGTTAACTTCTATTCGCTCCGATAGATGGAGCCACATTTTTCTCTCATCAGCTGATTGATTTTCCAAAAATTGTTTACTTTTGGAAAATCAAATTGTTAATTGTCAGATGAATTGTTTAGTGTTTTAATCCATTTTAAATTATTTTTTATTCTTTTTTTTATTTTGTTATAAGATTTTATTGATAATCTTTTAATTCGAGTGTCATGTTCCTCTTGAATAAGTTGATTGATTCCAAGAAAAAAGCTTCCAAACCTGAGGCAAATATTATTGTTGTTAATAATGAGCCTACAACAAGTAACTCAACACCATCTAGTTCAACAATTAAATTTAATTTACCTTTTGCTCCATTGATTCCTGATAATATATTAATAAGTGGATTACCTCAACTTGATCCGGTTCCATTGGGTAAATTTGGTTTACATTTACAAGATTTTCTTAGGAAAAAAGCTGATACAGTTTCCAAAAATCAGATTAAATTGTGTGAGAAAATCAAAGAAGTTGAATCATCTACAATTACAATTACTAATCATATGGAGGCCAAATCAAAGAGATTAAGGAAAGTTGAAGAATCATTTGATCGAGTACAAGAGATGTTCGATAAATGTGAATCAAGCCTGGAATCTTGTTTAAATAGTATTGATCGTCTCAACAATTCACTCCCACCTCATCTCAAATTGAACAATTTTGATTATAATACCAAAAAATTGGAACCAATTGAATCATAAAAACTACAAGAAAACTAATTATCAAAGGGATTTCCATCATATGATCTCATGATTTGATCGAAATCAATTGTAAACAAATCGGAGGAAAACCAATTAAAATTCATTGTAATTACTTAAAAACAAGTGGAAATATTATTCAAACAATCAATTAATGTTATTCTTGCCACTGATTAAACTAATACTCAACCAATCGAATCACTAAAATTAAATCTCATTTATCGCAATTACCTCTAATAATAATCAAGATCTACATTTGAACTGTTAATTGTTAGCCTGATACAAGGAAATTGTTCAACATTGGTGATTGTTTATTCTTAATTGCCTTTAATTTAAATCATCTACAATTACAATTACTAATCATACGAAAGCTAAATTAAAGAGATTCAAGTGATCAAGTGAAAATGTTATTCTTACACTGTTATTGTAACACTAATTCTCAACCCATCTAATCACTTTGATCAATGAATCAATTTGAATCAAATTTTCATTTCAAATTTCTTTGATCTATTGATTAATTTAATCCAATATAATTTGTGACTAATCTAAAAGTCCAAAACTATCGGAAGGTAAGGATAGTATTTGTGGAAACAGTGTTTCATGAAATCAAATCCAATACAAATCGAATCACATGGACTCACATCGGGCAGATCTTCATCATCAATATCTTCGTTATAGTTATAGTATAAGACGATTGATTGGCCTGATCTTCGACAAAATTCCGCCAGATAATCAGCTGACTTTTTTGTAACCTTTTTGAGTCTCTGAAATCCAATAGTTTTATTTTCGGCAAAATGGTAATCAGCTCTTTCACATTATCATCGTCGATTTTTACACTATCTCTGATTGCGAGGTTCGTTAAATTTGGAAATTTCATCAAAAGAGTTCGCAATGATGACCAGTCTTGAGATTCACCTTCAAGCTAAAGGTAGAGAATAAAATACTTAGTACAATTTGTTTCTTTTTCTCATAATTGAATATATTTACATGTTCGATAGCGAGATTTTTAAGATTGAGATTCTTGATTGTACCATTGACAACAGAGGAAAAGTTTTTATAAGTAGTGAAATAGGCACTTTCTAGTGATGGACAGAAATCCATGAAATCGTAACCAGGGAAAGTTGAGTTATCTGATGAAAATTCGAGTATCTTCAAATTAGATAACTCTGGACCTTTGTAGAACTTGTCTTGTGTGTATTCATTAATACCTGTAGATCAAACAACAAATTGAAAAATGCTTCTTTCGATTGTCACATATTAAGACTTACCTCTAGGTTCGTCGATATGAAGTCTTAATAAATTTTTGAGATAAACATGATGATCATTCAGCGATGATAAATAGCATTCAGATAGATAAATCTGCTTCAAGGCGAAAGTTTGATCAGAATCCTCATGCCACGATCCCAAGCGCTTGCAAACAAGTATCTCGATCTTTTTGAACCACGAACGTTGAAATAAATCGGAAGAGCAAAGTGGTTCAATCAATCCTCGAATTTTAGGAAGAGACATGATCAATTTATCCATCTGATTGTTATCATAGCGATTGATCAACAGTTTGAAATCCAAAATCTATAACAAAAAAACAAACGAATAGATCAAATGTCAATCAGTTATCGAGTGTTGTTTCCATTTTACCTCAAGATTTGGTAGTAATTCTGATAAATTTGTCTCCTTGAATAAACTTCCATCTTGGTACATAACGGATCTTGGTGATTCATCGTATTCTCTTTCCCCTGATTTCAAGTGGATTAAATTAGACTCCAAATCTATAGTTAGAGACGAATTCGAAGTTTTTTGCTCTGATTAACATTGAAACTCACCTAAAAGGAATTTAATTCTGTGTAAACGATAGTCAATTAGACTTTTCCATCTTAAACAAACTAAAAGATTGTCGTAAATCAGAAAATATATTAAGATTAATACATGTATGTTTACACTAATTAATTGATTTTCCATTGACACATTTTGATAACTTGACAAATTTTACTCTTACCTTTAGAAAGTTTTTCCAGATCTTCAAGAAATATTGAGTAATCAAAGATCATCATTAAACAATCGTCAGGTAATTCATTAATTAACATTTTAAACAAATTGGCTTTTTTACAATTAACATGAAAACAATTTCATTTAACAATAAGCTTATTGTAAAAAAGTTTAAGCGCTTAAATTAAATTACATTTATCGTATTAATAATTACCATTAATCAAGATCTATTGAATGATCAACTGTCAATTGTTAGATTTAACTGTATTTCCTTATTGATATGATTTTTCTTGGGTGAAATAATCAATGAGATATTATTATTTCATCAAAATTGTTGGAAAATATTTTGTATCATTACAATTGATCACAATGGATGTTTTTATACATGTAATTCAAAATTCAAATCAGTTTAATTGTTTGAAAAGTTTTACTGTTACCAATAATCCAGATCTACATTTGAATCGTTAATTGTTAGCTTTTTATCAAGTTTCACAATCAAATTAATTGTTAGCTGATATAGGGACAACGGTCAACTTTTAAAGTTCAAAGTTTCAACCACTTACATTGATTCATCTCCATTATCATCCCAGTGATTTTTAATTGTTACCTGTCAATCTTAATAATGAATGGATTAACTTTTGTACAATTGTATGATCTTCACAATCTCTTTTATTATCATAAAGGTAAGAATTCGGGTGTATTACGATTCATAATGAGTCCAATGGCGTTAATAATCAATTAATAACGATTAATTTAATCTAATTCAAATTGAATTTGATCGATTGATTAATTTAAACCAGCATCATTATCAACTAATCTAAAAGTCCAAAACCATCGGAAGGCAATGATAGTATTTAAAGAAACAGTGTTTCATGAAATCGAATCCAATACAAATCGAATAATCTGGTTCCAAGTCAGCCGGAATTTCAATTTTCTGATGGTAGATGTTATAATAGAAGACGATTGATTGGCCTGATCTTCGACAAAATTCCTCCAAATAATCAGCTGACTTTTTTGTAACCTTTTTTGAGCCCCTGAAATCCATTAGTTTTATTTTCGGCAGAATGGTAATCAGCTCTTTCACATTATCATCGTTGATTTTTTTATTGTCTCTGATTGCGAGGTTCGTTAAATTTGGAAATTTCATCAAAAGAGTTCGCAATGATGACCAGTCTTGAGATTTACCTTCAAGCTAAAGGTAGAGAATAAAATACTTAGTACAATTTGTTTCTTTTTCTCATCATTGAATATATTTACATGATCGATAGCGAGATTTTTAAGATTGAGATTCTTGATTGAACCGTTGATAACAAAGGAAATGTTTTCAACAGTAGCGAAATAGGCACTTTCTAATGATGGACAGGAATCCATGAAATCGTAACCAGGGAAATTTACGTTATCCGATAGAATTTCGAGAATCTTTAAATTAGGTAACACTGGACCTCTGTAGAAATTTCCACTTGCATATCTATCAATACCTGTAGAAAAAAAGATCTAGAAATGTCACTTTCGATTCTCATATTATTATAAAGTTAGAACTTACTGTGATAATCGTCAACATGGAGTCTTAATAAATTTTTGAGATAACAATGATGATCATTCAGCGATGATAAATAGCATTGTGAGAGATAGAGCTGTTTCAAGGCGAAACTTTGGTCAGAATCCTCATGCCATGAACCTAAGCCCTCGCAAACAAGCATCTCGATCTTATTGAACCACGAACGTTGAAACAAATCAGAAAAGCAAAGTGGATGAATCAATCCCCGTAGTTTAGGAAGGCACTCAATCAATTTCTCCATATCATTGTTGTCAAAATCATCGATATAACACTCAAGATCAATAATCTATTGAGAAAAAAATAAGCGAATTAATAACAAATGTATCAATATTATCGAATGGCGTTTCCATTTACCTCAAGATTCGGTAGCAATTCTGGTACATTTGACTCCATGAATAAACTTCCATGTTTGTACATAACGGATTTTGGTGGGTCATCCAATCCTCTTTGCACTATTGTCAAGTGAATGCAATTAAAATTCAAATTAATTGTTTGGCTCGAAATGGAAGCTTTTTACTAATTAAACATTGAAAACTCACCTAAAAGGTATTTAATTCCATTTAATCGATAGTTAATTAGACTTTTCCATCTTAAACAGACTTTTTTGTTGTGATATAGATCAGAAAATATTAGATTAATTGTATGTTTACACCGATTAATCATTGATTTTCCATTGAGATTAAACAATTATTGATATTGATTACAGAAATTTATATCTTACCTTTGGAAAGTTTTGTCAAATCTTCAAGAAATATTGAATAATCAAAGATCATCAATAAACAATCGTCAGGTAATTCATTAATTAACATTTTAAACAAATTGGCTTTTTTACAATTAACATGAAAACAATTTCATTTAACAATAAGCTTATTTTAAAAAAGTTGAAGCGCTAAAATTGCACCCCCATTATTAAGTAATTACTACTAATTAGCGCTAAAATTAAATTACATTTATCGTATTAATAATTACCATTATAATCAAGATCTATTGAATGATCAACTGTTAATTGTTAGATTTAATTCCAATTTATTTCCTTTATTGATTTTTTAGAAATGGTTGAAAAATGTTTTGTCTCATTACAATTGACCACAATGGATTTATAATTCAAAATTCAAATCAGTTTAATTGTTTGAAAGGTTTAACTATTACATTAGATGGCGCTTTCACAATTAAATTAATTGTTAGCTGATATAAGGACAACGGTCAACATTTAAAGTTCAAAGTGTCAACCGTTTACATTGATTCATCCTCATTATCATCCCAGTGATTTTTAATTGTTACCTGTCAATTTTAATAATGAATAGATTAGTTGATGATTGTCTACTCTTAATTTTTGAACAAATGTATGAGCTTCATGATCTCATTAGATGTCATAATGGTAAGAATTGATAATAAGTCTAATGTGCTTAATAATTAACTGATTTATTAATCTATTTCTTCATCAATTGGTGGCAGTTTGTAGGAGATGGAGATACCTGATTGAAATTAGATTGGCGAAATTCAGATACATGACAAGTAAATTGAATTCTAGCTTTGAAATAATAATTATCTGATTGTTATGTTGTTTTCTATTAATTTTTAATTTCCTCTGATTTAAAGTTTACGATTCATCCGTAAGTCCACACTTTGAAACAGATCGAGTACCGAATGAAGTTTTGGTCAATCTAAAGAGATTACAATATATCTTAGGTCATACCTTAAGATGGAAAGGTGATTATGTAAGTAATCAACTAAATTGTTAACCGACAATTGTAATAATCTTTTAATTTCATTTTCCAATCATAGGTTGTCCCATTTCATTCAGTTACAAAGAAAACGTTTCCAAATCTAAAGGTAAATTGATGTTGTTATTCAGTATTTCTATTAATATTTGCCGATTGATTTTCCAACCTGTTAGATTATTCATTACGACAAAAGTCCGGGATATCGAGCTATTGATTTTGTTATGGACGCTCTAATAGTTGTCTATCAAACATTACCGCTTCGAGGTATTATCGAAATGTCCCATGATGTTGCAATTCCAAACACTACGAGAGGTTTAAAAGGTCTTAAAATCTATGGATCATTTCGATCAAATTATGTGAGCTTTAGGCCTAAACTAAAGCAACTTCGAATTGCTAATGTTGCACTTCACCACTTGCCGGCTCATTGCGAAGAGATTCCGAATCTAGAAATACTTTATCTTGAAGTTCTCGAATGTAGGTCATTTTTTAGCACTTGAAATTCGTCCCAACTCATTTTTCTTTTCTTTATTATTCCAACAGGTGAAGAGTTACGAAGAGATCCCCCACTTGTTTATGAAAATCTTGAGACCTTAATCGTTGCTGATCATGAAAAAAGATCACATAGTTTCTTGTACGAACTTGAGGTGGTCAATTGGTGTCCCAAATTGAAAAACGCTCATTTTTATCTGCTAAACAAGACACTTGACTTCACCGGCGAGCAATTTTTCAAGAATCCCAGGCTTGAGAGTCTGGTTATCGTATTTGGTGTAAGTATGAACGAGTTATTTTTCTCAAGGTCGATCTCTCATTTTCATCAATTCGATCCAATTTACTCAGGCTCATTCTTCATGGAAGTGGATCTCATTGAAAACACACTTGTACAAATACCCGAATTTGAAAAATCTCGCACTCAGACTTTATCCTGAAATTTCCGACTCACATGTGAAAGAATTGGTTCAAAATCTACCGCATTTGGTTACACTGGACTTACGAGGATGTGAAAATATTACTGGTCACTCTGTACAGTTGATCGAAAGTTACAGCAAACGTGAAAAAAGATCGATAAAAGTTCACATCGGACCGAAATACGATATTCCACCGAGGCCTCGTCATTGGGTAGGAACTGGTTCTAATTTCATGGAAGCGTTTTTCTACCAAGACCAAACGCCATTAATACTCGATAATTTAGAAGATTAAAAGTGTCAACTCTTCGCCATCATTACATTTTAATTGTCAATTAGACTTCACGCTCTTATTTCAATCATTTGACAAATAACATTCTATGGATATGCCTCAAAGAATTAAGAAAAGTTCGAAATAAATCAAACCATTTGTTGGAATTGCAATTACATAATCAATTTGATTCTTTATTCAGTAATCGTTCATTTGAATTATTAGCTATGATTTCGTCGTGTTAACCAAGTGAAATTGTCATTGATCATGCACAGGGGAAGAAATTTGCTCCATCTGAGTGTTTAATTGCCACTGGTGATGTTGGTGGACAGAATCGTCGACTTTGGATGACGGTCGAACTAAATTTATTAAAAATGACCAAAATAAAAGTAATTTAGTGATTGACAATCATTGCGATCATAATAAATTGTTACTCACTGTAAATTAGGATCGAAAAATTTGTAAGAAATGGCAATTGGATCAAAATAAATCGAAGGCTTCGAGAAGACGTATTTTGGATTGTAAGGTGATTTTAAAGTCCATCGAAGGTAAACTGAGGTAATATTTGCCAATGGAGCGAAAGAAGCGATCGTTGAGTTATAAGTACGATCTCGAGCAATGTTAATATCACTATGAAGTTCATGAAGAAAACAAGAAACACAATTGAAAATCATCAGAAAGCTACAGTCAAATCACTTCGAGTGAATCACAATCTCGTTTTGTGAGGATAAAATCTCATTTCGAGTGAACGTAAGCCCTTTAAGCTAATTGTAATTGAAATGTAATTAACAAATTCTGTTAAGAGACAAAACTTACTCTGGAGTTAATAGAATATCTTCTTGGTTACTTTTAGTTCCATTTCTGTACATGATCGACATTTTCAGTTTACCATTGTGGTCATCGAACTTGGCTGAGGAAGTTTTAACGGTTACATTGTAAGTGTAAACTGGACCTAATGGCAGAATAATTTAGTTGATAATCAATATTAATTGTTCAAGAATTGTACAATTAGTGACTTACTTGATGGAGCTCCATAAGTTATGGATGAGTTAATTGTAAACAGCACGAAAACTGCGGACAAAACCAGGAAAATTTGAGTGGACATTTTGATTAGTTAGACTAAATTGTTACTATTAATCAGTATAGCAATTTATCAACAATTGAATTAGGTTTTCAGTTTTCTGGTTAGTTTTATATTGATACTTTATCTAAGTGATAATTAAACGCCTTATATTGATATGGAAAATCATTTATGTTTGATTGTCTCTTATTATGTTTTACCATTAGATTAATCAAGATCATAGATTAATTAAACTAATCAATGAACAAGTTTAATTGTTACTTTTGAGAGTATTAAATGATGATTTTCAATGGAAATCAATAAAATCTATTGTCATAAATTGATAATCTATTTATCACTAGAAAAGATTAATTAAAACGAGTAACGATTAACCTAAACAATTGTATCAACTAATTCAACTCATTGTTTACTAATTGATCAAAGTAAAAGTAATAAAAAACATTATTACAGTGCCAGATTGTAATTGTGATAATAGAAAATCAAATGAAAACAACAATTCCCATTGATAAAACTAATCATTAAAATCGGACTAACTTTGATCTTTAATTGCGTCGATCTGATGGTAAAATCAATTGGTAGCGAATAACGTTGAACATTTCAAACTAAATTAAACTCCAACTCGAATAGTAACTTGATAATCAATGTTTCGAGAGTATTTTGGAAAGTATTACCTCAAACGAACCTTAGAACTGGACTCAGGAACTTTACTCGTTCGCAAATTTTAACGATAATAGTAGTAATAAGAGTATAGAGAATTCGAATGGTAATTTTATTCGAAATTCTATCATAGTAGTTTATTGTCTATTGAAAATTTTCGCATCGAAAAGTATAAACAAAGGATAAGTTGATATCATTGAGTATGAATGAAAGGCCGCTGGCGATGATGGTGAACAAAATTTGCTCGTTTCAATTTTAATGATGCTAATGAATGACTTGAAAAAGTAATCAGTTAAATGATCATCACTGTTTAACCTTTTGATGATAAACAGATTGGTAAATTTGATTACCCTGGTCTATTGTGCTCTCTCATCAATGAATTACTTTAGATTTGATTGATTTTCATTGTTAAATCTTTTGATAGTAACCAGTAGTAATCAACCAGTTTGTATTTCTCCTCATTCATCACGAGTACCCATCAATTCAGTCTCAATTCTCGTTTGACACTTTCAGACAGATTCCAAACTCAGGAACGAGTTTTAATCGCTCTAGACTCACAAAAAAGCACTTTGTTGATCAACTACCGAATATAAAACTATTCCGAGGCCATTTTCGATTTAAATCGTAATCTAATTGTTCAGGTCTGTTCTCGAAGGTTAATTTTAATCCAAGATACCAGAGTATAATCGTCAATTGTTGTATATGGAAAGGTGAAAGCACATTAAGGTAATGTCTATGCAATTTACTAACTAATTGTTAATTGTTTACCGATAATAATTAAAGTCAAACCTTTTGTTACTATTTATTTATTGTTAATTTTCAATACTTGAAACAACTGATTAATCAGCAAATGCTCAGTGAAATTCAATAACAAGTAATTATCAATAACATTTAAACGATCATTGAAAATAGTAAACTGACCATTAGAACGACAATTAATAACAATTATCGAAACTTGTTTTCGAGTTAACCAACAACCAGAAATGAATTAACTCTTTTTTTGTTGTAACAATTAACGTTAATTACTTACAATTACATGAAATTATCTGATGTATGTGCGTGTGATATATTCACCGGTTTAACCTAATCATATAATTTAAACAAATTAACAAATCAATTTAAAGTAAAGTCACCAAACTGTAAATGAAACTTCATCATCAACAGTGAACTCAAATTATTATCATAAACTGATCAAATATTAATTATGGTTAATAAAAATTAGTATCAACTAGTCAATCATTTAACAGATCATGTAAATAATTAACGAACAAACAAAAATCTAACTAATTAACTAAAATACTAATAATTCGTAATTAAACTAACCTTGATCAGAAGCTCGTTCTCCTTGTTCAGCTTATTTGCCACGTTGGAGGAGAAACGAAAAAGTAAAACTAAAAAGTAGTTTAGATTAACATTGATTAGTGAATTAACTGTTGATCCACTAACTTTATCTTCCTTTCATCATTATTTATCTTCTTCTCTTCTTCTTCTTTCTTTCGTCAGCCATTTTGAATTGAATTTTGAATTGAATTTAATCCATCAAACCGATTAATCCCTTTATCCATTGAAGAGACAATTTCGATGAAAAAAACAAAACAACAATAGTTATTGAGGATAAATTGTTTACTTAGATTTGGATGCTAATCGAAACAAACCAGACACCAAGTTGATTGTTCACTTAATCCAATATCAGGTTTGTGATGATTAAATAAATTGTTCGATTGATGTGATTACCTGTATCTTTTTTAGAGCAAAAGGCCTCTCCCTTTTCACTCTCTTTCTTAATACCTTTACCTTTTTCCTTCTCTCTCTCTCTCTCTCTCTTGATTTATCTTCTCTTTCGTTCCCTCTTTCGATATTTGTCTTCTTCCTTAAGGTGAGAGAGAGAGCGAATTACGTTCAGTACCAACGATCCACAACCCAAAGTATACGACATATTAGCCAAATTATCCATTTATCATCTTACACAATTAATAATTTTCTATCCAATTTGTTAATTTCTTTCGATTAATCAACAGAAATGATTTTCTTTATATCAATTGTTTGCCTTTTCTTTGGTACTCTTAACGGTAAGTCTCAATCTCTCGATGTAGTAACAATTATCTCGTTCAAATGTATCTATTTAGTTTAATTGTTATTACAATTTAATAGATTTTATGTCTATTATAATGTAATCGACTATTTTTACATTAAGTGATTTTCTTAATTGACACAATTTAATGACAACATAAATCTCTTCTTATTGGATTAATCGTTATTGCTTAGTGTTGGTGACCAAATTACATTAAGCGATCCAATTAATACTTGTTTGTTTTTCCTGGAAATCAACTTAATTTGTGTGTTAATTGTTTTTTGGTGTTTTTAATCATTTAGCTCAGTATGATGTATCCTCCGAGTCCGTTCAATGTCCTGGTGAAGGACTTTACACTGCTGCTCATCAATCGGACTGCGATAAATATTATCTTTGTCGTAACGGAACTTTGACCGTTGAAACTTGTCCCAATGGTCTTCTTTATGGTGTCCAAGGAGCTGTTTACGAGTTTTGTGCCCACAATTGGAAGGTCGATTGCCAGGGTCGTAAAGCTCGTACGTGTTTCGAGTGTACAATTAGCAACAGAAACTTGAGATTATCTAATTTTTGCTCCTTTCTTTGTTTGATTCGTAATTAGCTGGACCAATAAGTAGCCCTGGATGTCCATGGCAATGGGGCATCTTTGAAGATGAAGGTGCTGGTCAATGTGCCACAACTTATTCTGAATGTTCATGGGGAGCACCCGAAAGGAAATACTGTGAACCCAAAGGATTAGTTTACGATGAAAGGATCAAAGGTTGCAATTGGCCTGATCAAGTTGGTTGTAAGGGTGAAGGTAAATTAATAAACAAAAACGAATACAATCAATCAGTTAATTCATTCATTTTCTATCAACAGATATTCTTGGTTTCAAATGCCCTGAAGCTGATACTGGTAATCGTTACTGGCCTTACCCAAGATACGCTTACTCACAAGAAGCTTTGATTACCTGTGTTAAAGGTCAACCTCGATTAATCCATTGTGGTAAAGATACTTATGCCGATCAGAATTCAATGACCTGTGTTCCATACGACAAGGAAAAGGCCAATTAAATAACACGAGTGCGACAAAAAATGACCAATACTCAGAAAAGAAACAGCCGAAAGGATTAGTATCTCAATTTGTGCTATTTCTTTATCATTAGAACACAAAAAATGCCAACAAAAATCAATCGATTGCGATGCAATTTCCAATTTGATTTTCTCATCTTTTTCTGAATAATTTTTTTTACTTACAATTAAAAAAGATTATGATTAAAACCGAACCGATTAAATTAGGACTGGATTCCGTTTATCTGATTCTCAAACTGTGTCTTCTGTATTTAAGAAAACAAAATGAGCCAAGGCCACTTTCAGAAATCGAGTCGGTTATTAATTAACTCGAACAAGAAAAAACAACTAATCATTAAAAGGTGCGGTTCTTATACTATTACATGCAATGAATTTGATTCATGTTATTTACTCACTAATTAACACTAAATTGTCACGATGTGATCACTTAATTTGTTTAAAAAAATCACTTTTAATGTTGATGATTTTGTATTGGAAAACAGGATAAAAACAATTAACACAAATTAGGAAAAAAAAGTTTAAAGTAATATTTAGTTAGTTATTATTTGAACATTTAAATTAGATTAAAATCACTTTGGTATCGAACACTAGTTAATTAATTTGATTTGGTTGTCGATCGTTAAAAGATTTGTTGATTGTTTGCACTCTTGCAGACTGAAGCAGTATTTTTACTGACAATTAAATTACTCACTTTGAGGAGGGAGTATTGGTAATCGATTTCTTGATTGATCATTTTACGATTAAGAAAATGCAAATGAACGATGTCTTTGATAATAGATTAAGGTGCGAATGGTAGACCTGCAATATATGTAGAGAACCCGTGATGGTGTGGATTATCCTCGAATCCAGCGAATCTTTCAGCGATATTCGAACTGAAAACAACGGGCTCGAACGAAGCAGCGTTGAATTGGAAAGGATCGATTTCTTCATGGGAATTTGATGTTATTCGATTTATATACTCGAACCCTCGTGCTCCAGGTGAACCTGTGATGATTGTATTATCTTTCTGGAAGTTTAAAGCATCCGAACCATGGGAGATTTGACTATTGAACTGAATTGGTCCGGAAATATCAGATGAGCCGATGGTTGGTTCATGGCGATGATGGTGGTGTTGGGGAACATCTTCGTCTTCAAGATCGGATCCTGATCCAATGTATGGCGATGGTGGGTTGAAGCCAGAATATTCATTTGAACTTCTGGGACTTTCCTCGTATCCTCCACGAGAATCGTCGTAATACTTTTCTCTTGGTGGTTCACCTGAATGATCGGGGGATGAATGGTGATGATGGTTATGGTGAGGCGGAGGAGGTGGTGGAGGTGGAGGGGGATGAGAATGAGAATGATGTGGATGATGTTGTTGATGGTTATCAAGGTTATGGGATCGACCATTACGGGGAGAATCTGATGCTGAATGAGATCGATACCTTGGTTCTGAGTGATGAGGATGAGGATGAGGATGGGAGTGAGATTGGTGATGAGATTGATGGTTTTGAGGATGATGTTGAGGATGATGATGGGAATGATGTTGGGGATGATGTTGAGGGGTGGTGGTGTTGATGTTTGAGGCTCGGAGTCATAATGGTGATGAGGATGAGGTTGATGATGTTCGGGCATCTCATCAGGCATATCATGTGGCATATGATCAAACGAAGGTCTATCAGATAATGAATTCCATGAGCCTTTGGGAGTTAAATCTTTCTTGAAGAAAGATTCAAGACTATCTTCTTCCTCCTTTGGAGCGTATTTATCAACCAATTCACGGAATCGTGATTCATCTGGAATCTTATTTGACTTTGATCGGGTTGAAGGTGAGAAATCAAATGACCTCGGTGAAGGTGGTAAAGCCGAGAAAAAGTTCTTACTCTCAGCCGTCGATGACAAAGGTGAGGATGGAGGAGGAGGTGAAGGTATTGAATGGTAACGTTGATTGTAATAGATTTTGATATTGGGCTTCGATGACTAGAATCAAACATAAAATTTGAACAATATAAATGAATGAATATTAACTAATTGGGTTCGAAATGGTTGGTAATCTACTCACATGTTCAGATTGACTGAATTGTTGATTAGATGGTTGGCCAAAAAATTCATCCTGATAATTAAAGTAATTTAAACAATTATTGTCTTGAGGGAAAGAAGCAAATTAAAGCTCAACAATTAACGAACCTTTGATAAATCTGAAAAACTATTTGGTTGAGGGTGATGATGATTAGTTAGAGTGTATGAGAATCCGTTGTTATGATGATCGAAGTCAAGTCTTGTGTTACCGTCGAGTCCAAATTTCTGTGAATAAGACGGAGCTAAAGTTCCTAAGCCGATTGAGAATCTCGGCTCACCGGAATCATCTTCTTCTGAAGATGAGGATGATTTTGATGAAGATTTTGAGGATGATGATGATGTCGCTGAAAGAGATGATGCAACTAACGTTGATTCACCAGAACTTTCAATCGATGATGGAGATGAATTATTTGGTTTACCTGATTGTTGATTAGTTGATCGTTGACTGTCCATAGCAATTAACTCTAAATTAGCTGGAGCTGCATAGAAATTGGGAAATTTTTCATCTTTTCCTTCAGCAGCATAATTTAAATTGATTGTCAACACAATTAGAAGGCAAATTAAGTTAAACTTAAAATACCCCATGATGGAAGGTGAGTAAAGTTAATCACAATTAAAGTAAACCCAATGGAAACACACACAGTCGTACACAAACAATTAGCTGAAATTAAGAGACTTGTTTGATTGTGATTTGAAACAGTTATCGATATGTTTACTAATCAATGTCTTCTAATCAAATGAACAATTGATTGTCGATGAATGAACAGTTAAATGATTAAATTAAAGGAGGAGATGATTAAAAGAGATGCAAGTGTTAAATTAGCCAAAAAGTGAAAGTTAGAAAACAAGAAATTAAATTTACTTCGAATGAGAAAAAAAAAGTTCTAAGATTAAAGTTTAATTGAAGGAAAAATGATTAACTAAATCTAATCGTTAATAGAGATAATTAGATGAAAAGTTTTTCCGATTTTGGCTCAATACGTTTTCCTAACTCGCTCTTTTTAATGATTATCATCAACGATCTTATGGTTGATGATTTACTGTTAAATTGTAGCGATTAAATCATGAAACAAATTCAAATGATTAAGGGGAGAGCAGATAATCAAGTGATAAAAAAAGGTTCAGCAAATGATTAACTGATTGTTTTTATTTACTTCCTTTAATCCTTTCCAATCATATTAACTACTTGATCTCTCTCTCTCTCTCTCTTTGATTATTACGATTAATGAGGAAGATGTTGATTGTTTTTGATCATTTTAATACCATTTTATTATTCCGTTGATCATCATGTTAATTGTCTGCAGTTAACTCATTTTTTTAAGCTTCTCGCTTCTCGTAATTAACTGTTAATTTAGTTGAGAGACAATTTTTTCTTCTTATGTCTATCTTGTTAATCTTAACCAGGTAATTGATTGTGATCAATTTATTTTCTATTTTATGCCAAATCAATTAGATATTTAAATTGCGGAAGAATTTTGTAAATTATTTTCCAAATTAAATCTCTTTTCTTTTTAATTTAATTCTCATGTATTCATTACTTTCCGATTTAACTGATTAAAGAAAAAACAAATTCTAATCAAATATTTAAAATCAACTTTTTTCTCCGCTACAAATCAATTCTTTTCCAATCTAATTGGTCAACAGTTCCTAATCAATGTCCAATTAATGTTCAAATTGCAGCATTTCAACAAAATCAAATTAAAAAACTTTCTTCAATTTAATTGTCCAACTTTCGAAAGTTTCTCATAACAAACAACAGATGGCGCAAGTTTCGTTGAAAAAGAACAAAAATTTTGGCGCCAAATTTCGGCTCATTGAATGTTCTTTGTTTTTCCTCATTGTCTTTGTTATTGTTTCCATTTTTGTCTTAATTGTTATTTACAATTAATTTCAATTGTTGTCTTTAAATTTAGTGTATTTATCTAGTCATTAGAACTATGGCTTTGTGGTGTGATAAATATCGACCAAGTAGTTTAAACAAATTGGATTATAATAAGGAACAGGCTGATTATTTGAAGCGAATGGTAAATTGGTTAATATTATGTTTTAGCTTTTTCTGTTTCTATTTGACTTTAATTAGCTTAATTTGATTGTTTTTCTTTTCCATTAATTTGAATTCTATTTCTCTATTGTTTCTTTATTCTTTGTTTGTCTTTGAAATTTAGATTCGATCGAATGATTTTCCACATTTACTGGTCTATGGATCACCAGGATCTGGAAAACGTACTCGGGTTCAATGTATTCTCAGGGAAATTTATGGTTCTGGTGTTGATAAAACTCGAATTGAACATTTAACCATTGAGACGCCTTCTAACAAAAAGCTTGAGCTTAATTCGATTGCTTCTAATTATCATATCGAAATTAATCCAAGTGATATTGGAATTCAAGATCGTCTGGTTGTTCAAGATGTCATGAAAAATATAGCTCAAAGTGGAGGCCTTGTTGATAAGGTTCCGTTTAAAGTGATTGTTATTTCGGAGGCTCATAAATTGTCCAAAGATGCTCAGCATTCACTCAGACGAACAATGGAAAAATATATTTCAACCCTTCGATTGATTATGGTCGCTGATACAAGTTCAACGATTTTACCACCAATTAAAAGTCGTTGTCTTTTACATAGAGTTTCAGCTCCAACGACCGATAAAATAGCTCAAATACTTGAATTTGTCGGACGGAGAGAAAATTTTGATCTTGGTCCAAATTTAATCTCGAAAATTGCCTCTGAATGTGATCGCAATTTACGTCGAGCCCTGTTGATGATGGAAACCATGTACATCAATTCAAGCCAAGAGATTATCAAACCTTCTTATATGCTTTACATTCAAAGAATAGCCAAAAAGATGATTGAAAATCCGACCTTGGAAAAAGTGAAAGACATTCGAGAAGATTTTTACGAACTTGAGCAACATCTTATCCCTGTGGAGATTATTTTCAAAGTTTTAATTCGCTCATTGTTACACATTTGTAATGGAGTTTTAAAAGGTAAATTACTTCAACTTGCTTCTCATTACGAACATCAAATGAGAGTGGGAAGTAAACGGGTCCTTCATTTTGAAGCTTTTGTCGCTCACTTCATGGCCGCTTATCAGAAATTTACTGAGGATAATTTGATTGACGATGATGAAGATTTACTTTCCATGTAGAATCAGGAATGTTCATCAATGGAAACTAATTCCCTTAATTGTTGTGGATCATGAAAACATTTTTACTTCCTAGCAGTTGTCGATTCAATTTTAAAAATTTCCTCTCACTCAATCAATTATCAATATTTTTTTATCTAAAAAAAATAAATCGTCGAGTTCAAACTCTTAATTTTGGTTTTTCAGTTTGTGTCAATTATTCACGAAGTATAATATTTATGAGGTTCAACTTTGGAGGTTAAAATGCAAAAATTAATTTCATTAACTCAAATTGCAATAATAATTATTGACAAGTTTGAATATTTGTGTTTCCGTTTCACTTATGACTATTTGTGAAACATAGACACAGTTACAGAATCAATGTCGTTGACATTAATTAATAAGTCGCTTTCTGTTTTCTTACAATATGAATTGATAAAAGTTTACGATGATGAAATTTCCAAATGAAAGTTTTGTTGTTGTTGTTGATTTTGTTGATCATCATTGAGGAAAAAGTCTTTCTCCTTGTAATTAATAATTAGCGGTGTGAAGAATAGGCAAAGTTAATTGAGAATTTAACACAAAAGGAATGTACCAGATTTAGATTCTTATTTTTTTAAATGCATTGTATCCAAATGATCATTTAGATGTAATTAATATCCATCCATTCATATTAATTAATATTAAATTGCAACACCTTTAAGATTAAAGTCAAATCTTTGATTTTGTTAAAATGGCAAGGATTGGATAATATTGAATTTCTTGTAATGAGAAAATCACTTCATCCATGAAATTGATTAACGATAATAATGATAAACTTTTTTTCTTTTCGTTTGCTTTTAAATTTCTCGTTGACATAATCGGATATCATTTTGTTGTTGTCGTTAAGGTTATAGAAGGATTAACCAATCTTTTTCAAGGGGATTAGTTAATCCGCTTGAATTCCAATCGAAACTTGCTTCTGGAATAGATGAGGCACTTTGTTCTTGGTGTTGCTTATTATCTGAACTATTGTTCAGTGAATTAGAAGCGATTGTCAACTGGTGAGATTGTTGTGATACTTGAGGCTCTAAAGGTACTATTGAAGGTAGTAAAGGCGTTGGCTGAGGAATCGTCAGCTTAGATGGTATGAGTGGAGTTGAAAAGTCTCTCAGACTAGGCATTTGTTGCTGAGGAAGAAAAAAGAGAAAATAATAATTAGAGATATCGACATTTTTCTCTTCTTCAAATTTCCATTGATATCAATAAGTGTGTCATTGAAATGCTTAGAAGAGGAAAAAGTTCAACATTAATCAGAGTGAAATCTTAGGGAAAGGTAAATAATACAATATACTCACTATATTTCTAGAATCAATTTTAAGAGATCGTAGGAAAACTTGGAATGTATGTGATGATTCCCAATTTAATTTGAGCGATGCTGCTTCTTCCCAATTAATCAACGATTGCCACATTTTACAACTGCAATTGATAGAGAAAAAGATAATTGTAATGAGTGTTTTTGATTATAACGATTAGTATTTCTTAAAAAAGAAAAACAGAAATGTCCTTGTATAAAAAAAAAGAGATAGAAAATAATATAATCGGTGCTGTAACTACCATTTTCACAGAAATTTACCTGTATTACAGGTAAATTGAATCAATGATTAAATTGATTTTATTTTTCCTTCTTTACGTACCTTTGAGATGTTGTATCGGCAAATAGATTAGTAGAAATAATTTTATTGCCTTCATTTCGTATATCCTTGGTAAATGATTGACTAACAATTGAAGATAGAGATGAATTTGTTAAACAATCATTATTGTTTCCTGAGTTTGTTTCATTCTCAATTTTCGGAGTAGATGAAAATATATTGGAAGGTAACACTGTCCGAGAAGGTAATGGTGGTAGAGATTTAATAGAGGTTGGGTCAGTTATTGTTTCTTTTTTCTTGATCACTTGATTGGTTTCTTGAAAATCGGCGAAATCACCAAAGTCACCAAAATCATCACCATCATTATCATCATTATCATCTGCACTTTGGTTTATATTAGAGTTAATTTTTTCTTTAATATCATCGACCTGGTCCAGTTTATCCTTTATCAAGTTATTATCACTCTTATCAATGGTTGAGAAGAAATTTAAATCTCCATCAGTACTAATATTATCTTTGTTATCGATCTCGTGGTTTGTCATTGTTTCTAATTTTGATTTATCGTTACCCTGGAAGAAACTGAAATCTCCAAAATCATCTTCGTCCATACTTATGTTATTATTATCACAATTATCACCTTGGAAAAATGTAAAATCACCAAAGTCATCATTATTTGTTTCGTTAAGCAACTGGTGTGTTTGATGTTGTTTCATTTCAGCATCATCTTGTCTAAATCCGTTAGCACTGAAAGCGGTTGTTGTTGGTGTTGTTGATGTCGTGGTTTGGGTTGTAGAGGATGTGATAATTGTTGAATTACTATTGTTATAATTAGAAGAGTTATTTACATTTGTACTACTTTGGAAAAATGTAAAATCTCCAAAATCATCATCAACTATTTTATTATCCTGGAAATTAGCAAAATCACCAAAGTCATCGTCAGCATTAAAATTTGCACTTTGAAAATCATCCGATTGTTTACCATTTGTATCTATAGAGTTCATAATTGGTTGAATTGTGAGCATAACTGATTAATTTAACTTGATGGATTAATTTGGTATTTTCAAAGTTAATCAATAGTCAGACTCAGATCAATTTCATTAAAAGACCAAAAGAGGAACCAAAAAAAACAAGGTGTGTAACCAAAAATAGAAACAGGTGAGTAATGATGAACAGAAATCTGGTACACAGGTTATTCCATGATATTGCTAATGGAGAAGATCAATTCTAATGAAACAGAGAGATTGTTGATTTAGATGATCATCATTAACCACGACAATAAATCACCGGAACTTATTATATGAAAACAGGGGGAAAATGGTTGATTTTCCTTCAAGATTAGGGAGCACAAACAATTTTTTCGACAAGTATTTTTTGTTCTCTTCTTGTGTCTTGGATCTTTGCGTTTTATCAATGTTGAAAAGTAAGAAGGTGGAGAGGTAAGATAATGAGAAGGTAATGAAAATGATAACAAGAAACAATATGAGAGAGAGAGAAAGAGAGAAGAGAGAGAGAGAGAGAGTAAAAAGGAGAAAGAGAACAGCAATAAGAAAGTAAGATAGGGAAATCTAATAGACTAGCAGAAAGGTTATTTTGTAATAAGCAATTAACTAAATCAGTATGTTAGGTGAAAATCTACTTCTAATTTGTCTCATAAAACAGAATAGATTGATAAATATTGTTACTCATCAAAATACTATTAAAATGTACATAGAATGAATGAGAAAAAAAAAGGTGAATAAGAGGGGACAATGTTTACATCAAGGTCTGAAAATACACACACAACACTAATGGTAACTTTGGATAAATTAAAAAAAAAATGATGTCCTTAAATGGTTGTACTATTTAAACAAAACAAACACATACACAGAAAGGTAGAAATTAACAATGAGTGTTTAAATTATGTAAATTGCAAGTGATGGGGAGAAGCTAAAAAACTAAAAAAGATCTATGATGATGGGGATAATGGAGATGATGATGATACTGTTCTCATCATCAGACACAGCTGAAAATAAGGTACAATTTACACCAACAAAGTTGCTCCATCCTCACGGTTTACCTGTAAAAAGATGATGATGTTGATGGAGGAAGAGATTAATTTGGTTTCATGATGAACAAGTAGATGGCCTCATCTACCTTGAACCACCAACCAGAAGATCACTAATCAAGTCACAATTTCCACATAATTAATTGTAAGAAAAGAGAAGAAAAGAAAAACCAATTTACCAACCAATTAAATCGTAAACAAATTGCCTACTAAATAGTCACAATTATTAATCTTTAGAATTTATTTTCAATTTTTAGAAGAAAAAAAAATTCGATTCTGATTAGTTCGTTTAACGAGCCACAGATGGAGGGACAATCGATTTTCTTTTTCTGCTTTTCGGTTGTGCAAAATTCTGAGGCTTCAAAAATCAAGAGTGAATTTTGTTTGGTTTTAACTTTAGATTTGTGATTTAATTTTCTAATTGTAATTTAAATTGTTATCTATTTTTAATTGTTGGTCAATAATTAGACACTTGTGTTGATCTTTTTAAAGATTAAGGAGAAATTGAATGAATAATATTAATGTCAGAGAATGAAAGATGAAATTGGTCAAGGGGCTGTGACCAAGTCAACAACATTTTTAACATCAATTGTGTGACTACATTTGAATTTTTGCTTTTAATTTCTCTTTTAATTTGATTTTAATCAATCTTAATCATCATAACAATTTAATTTTAAATCTTGATCCTCTTCGATCGTTTTACTGTTTGTAGCTATTTTCCTTTCCCAGTGACATGATTCCAAATGATTCGGTAACTTTTGGATTATATTGGTTGCTCATTGATTAATACGTATACATATTAATATACATACTCTTTGGTTGGATAGGTTTTTTTTTATACATATATTTATCTTTTTATTTATCATTTTTTGATTTTGATTGGATTTTTACTTGCTGTTGACACTTTCGCTGGTCGAAGAGAGATAACAATGACATCGAAACCTGTAAATAAAATAATGGAGCCAAGTAAAGCTGATTTGATTCGTGCTCTATGTGCCCTGGAAGGTGAACTTCAAGCTAAAGATATTGTGATCAGTATACTCAAGACGGAACAAGTCAGGAGGCTTATTCATCCCTGTTATAATAAACGCTGGTGGACACAACCTCAACCTCACTCAAAATTGTCTACCGACACCATAATACCAAATAATCGAGCTCTAAAATGCAAACAATTACAATTACAACAACATATTCAACACCAAGACTCAACAACAACAACAACAAACTCCCAACAGAATCAACAACAATCCAAACAGCTACAGCAACAAACCAATAAGTCCATTCAAATTGATCCTTCTGATCCTTATACAGCTTTGTTAAGAGACACTTATTGTGCATATGATCCAACATATGATGAAAACTCAATCAAATTAATCTACAATCTACAATATCAAAATTTAAGGAACCTTATAGACCATCAAAGGAAAGTGAGAAATTATTTAGAATCTCAAATATGTGAACGAGAGGCCAAATATAAAGCGTGTTTGGAGGAATTAGAAAGTGAAAAAACGAAAAGTGCAAAATACGAAAGGGACAAGATGATTTCGCAAATTGAACTATTGGAAAAGGAAAAAGAATCACTTGGAGAACAATTGGAAATAATTAAAAGTGATCTTGAAAAGGTTAAAGAACGTGAAAAGTCAATGGTCATGTGTTTAGTTACCGAGCGTAAAGAATTAATTTGTCGTCTAATTGAACATGAGCAACATAATAACGCGCTGATCGACATGTTGACCGCTGAACGATGTAGAGCCGCTGAGATGAGTGAAGATCTCGAAGAGGAATCGAAAAGATCATTACAAATGGAATCAGAATTGGAAAGATTAACAGCCAGTCACGAATTATCAAAATCACTGCTTTTGGATAAAATAAATAATCTAGAAAATAAATCAACCAAATTAGAAGAGGAAAATGATAAATTGAAAAAGGAATTGGAAACAATCAAATCAAAAAGAATAGCTCAATTAGGTGAAGGTGTAAGATCAACAATCGTAACTGTCAACTCAACGGACCAAAAGTAAGTTATGATTAACTTGTTGTTAATTATCATAATCATGATTCGTTTTCCTTTTTTTCTGCTTTCCTACCATTTAATTACATTTACAAAGTGATAAATGTTTAATTAAATATCCATGCAAATTTTTTTCTTCAGACAAAATAATCAGTTAATCATGTTAGTTGATCATTTTCACCTTCACGTTTATTGGTGATAGTTACACTTATACACACACACACCTAATCGACAGGGACCAAACCTACAAATAGTTTGATCTTTTTTTAATTTCAAGGTCATCACTTTGCACCTTTTTCACTCATGAGTGATTAATGATGTGACAGATATCTAATTATCTCCCAGTCAATCAATTTATTTCATTGCCTTTCATTTTTAACTAACAAAATGTAAATTAATGATTCTTTTTATAATTAATCCATGTCAATTTGTGTTCTATTGCCATTTCTTTAGGATTCTCACGCACCAGGAACCGGGTAAAGTTGTGATTGCCAGTGGAAGTCCTCAAGCACCGATACAAAAGAAATTCTCAACTGGCCCAGTAACCGGAACTGGATCGAGCACTAGTCCATTATTTCGTGGAACACCTCCTCCCATACCACCCAATAAGCCCATTCTTCCCGCTAACGCGTTAAAAGAGCGAAGCAAAGAGATTCAACAAGCAACTTTACGAGCTAAAATGATCACCACAACCTCCACCAACAATACCACCAACACCCTGTCCACATCATCATCAACTCCTGTACCCGTTCAAGGCGAAAGAAATGAGAAATCATAATAATCGACAATTTTTCATCTTCCTCTTCAATCTTGTCTCCAAATCAATTATAATAAGAATCATCATCATCATCAATTGTTTTTATGTCAATGAAAAAAACGACATTTTTAAAGTGATGGATTGAGAATCAAAACTGTCACATATTTAGTCTTAAAATCACAAAAGTAAACGGCAGTTTAAGTAAACCCATTTACTGTACATTCACAATTTAGACGATGATTTTAATTGTTAGACTAGCATCTTCTTATATTTTCCCTTGACAAACAATTTATCGATTACTAAATTAATAGTTAATATAAAATTGCCAGCTAAAAAAAAACGATATTGATCATAAATTGTTGAGTTTATCAACTTTCTCTGTTGGTGATTTAGTTGTATTGTTCTGGAAAAATTTTCGCACATCAATTGTTCTTGTTTTTTTTATGTAATTTTGTTCCAATCCTGATTTGTTCTCTAAAAGGAACAATTTAAAATAAGAATTATAAATAAATTAAGAACAAATAATAGACAATCGAAAAATTCTAACCTTTAATGAGAAAAAAAAACTCCAGCGATAACTTAAAATTATCGTAAAAAAGGTAATTAGACTTTTTGATTATCCGAAACAATGGAAAAAAATTTTTCGCAGTCGACAGGATTCGAACCTGTGCGGGAAAATCCCAATGGATTTCAAGTCCATCGCCTTAACCACTCGGCCACGACTGCAGGCTTATAATTCTGTCCTTGAGGGGCTATATCATTATTGAGTCAATTGCACGATCGTTTCCAACTTCGATCAGTTCAAAACAGAATTTGAAATTATTATTTATTCTCATCTCATTTGTATATATTGTATTTCCTTGCATAATTTTGAGTTGGTTACAAGAAGAGGAATCAACTGGTTGAATGACTTAATCAACTTGTTTTACCTGTTTTGAATTAAGGGGCTGATGAGATTTTCTGGTTATGCTAATTGTGACTTGATTGTTGGCAAAACTTTGCTCCTCAACTTGAAAGTTGAAACGTTTTCAATGAAAAAATCTTAATTATCATCAATCAGACTTGTTGATTTATCTTAATTAGTACGTTTGTTTTTCACAATTTACAATGATAATGTATCTCAATGTGAATTTTGTTTAACTTGAAACTATTTTAATTGTTACTGTTGTTGTTTTTGTCTACATTACAAACGATAATCAACAAGAATTAATTCTAAAAGATAATCATGATACATGTAATTGGATAAGTGGCTTGAATTTAAATTGTTAATTTCAAGACGTCTTGTTAATTTTCAATGAAGATCATAGTATTGGGCACGTTTATGGTAAATCTATTGATGATTTTGTCTCATGATTATCATGTTATTCAAAGTTGATTGTTCCTTTTAGATCATCAAATATTAATTGGAATTCTAATTAACTGTACCATCAAAATGATTCTATCATGATGATTTTCCAGTTGATTCAGTTGTTCCTTGCGATTCCAAGTAGGCAAGATATTCATTCTTGGCCTTTTCCCGATCTTTCACATTTAGAACCAAAGATGATCGATTTTTCCTCTGGTAATAATTTTTAACTCGATTCCAGAAATCTTGACACTCATACAATTTGTTCAACACTTCATCACAATTAGGCTCTTTATCTAAACACTTCTTAACAATTAAATCTTCCTGAGCACAAGGATTCTGGGCCATCAGGGATTCCTTCACTTTCTGCCGCTCCATGAAAGCCTTTTTATCATTGTCCATGATGAAGAAGGGAAATCTAAAAGAGAATAACAATTAATCAAATAGTAACAATTTGAAAGAAAAACTTTAAAACAATTGGAATCAAATGAATGGAAACAAAAACAAAATCAAAGATGAAAATGAATTTAGGTTACCATAGATACGGAAAACACATGATTTGATCACATGTTTCATTGGAAATTGTGATTTGTTGTTATGGAATTTAAATTTGATTATGTTACCAATTAATTGTCCGATTGTCATTAGATCTCAATTAGTACGTTACTTGAGTGTTTCTCCATCACCATCATCATCATCATCATCATCAACAACCACCGATTCATCAATAGTCTCATCATCACCTTTACCTCAACAAGATGAACAAATTGTTGACAATTGTATTAAATATAAACCAGTTTTCGAGACATTGATTGGCTTAATTGTCTCGTGTAAATTAAATGTTTCATCAAAATTATTTTCTCGATCATCAACAAATTACTTTTCTTCACCAAATGAAAATGTTTCTCTTTTCGATGCCTCAATACCGGCCACTTTACCGATTGTTAATCGTTCCTGTTTAGAGTTGGTAATTAAATCTGCTTTAGCTTTGAATTGTACAATTAATCCAATTTGTTCATTTGACCGTGAACATAGTGTTGATCCAGTTAATCCATCGGGTTATCGTTTGGTACAATCAAGAGAACCGATTGCTTCAAATGGTTATATTAAAGTACCAATTGTTTACCGTGCAAATGATTCTGGTCACTTGAAAACTATTGAATGTAAATCGATCCATTTAGAGGAACATGTTGGATCAATTGATTGTAATCATTTACTACAATTTGATGGTATCAATTTAAATTCTCGTGGTCTTGCATTGGTCAAATTCGTATTCAACCCTTCGGACATTACACCCAAAGAATCAATCAGTTTGGTCAATGAATTGTTACTAATACTTAAAAGGTTCGACAATTTTTCCCAACATTTGAATCCAATCAAATTAATCCAATTATTTTCCTTTAATTGCAGAATCGGTGCTACAAGTAATCGTTTAGAAGAACGGATTTTATCAATCGATGCAACAATTCAACTTTTCTGTGATTCTAATCCATGTAAACCAGTGAAAATTACACTTTGTAATTCACAAAGTGTTCTTGCTAATCATTTAGCTCATGAAATCGGGAGGCAAAAGTCATTCATAATTAGGAAACAATTAGCTCCAGAAAATCATCTGTTCATAGGTCCATTAACGGGAGGTCTCAAGCCAATTAAATCAGCTAATTATGACACTCGAACGATGATCGAACCTTCAATTCCACCGTTCAAATTTCTTAGTTCAAAAGATTCACAGGTCGATGATAAAACTTTAATATCATTAGAAAAATTAACCAAAGAAATTCCAATATTACCGGAAGAGGAGAGATTAATTCTCATGAATCAATATGGTTTATCTTTATATCAATCTCGAAGATTAATTGTCAACAATTATTATGAAATTTTCATAAAAATGATGACAAAAGATGAATCATTATCAACTAATCAATTGGAAACTTTTTCATTTATAATAGATGTTATTGAAAAATCAATTCTACTCACTAATCATGAAGTTGATCAACTTTATGATTGTGTTGATAATCTAGTTGCTTGTTATCATTTATTGAGGACCAATATAATTTTACGTTCAATTGCAATTAAAATGGTTTCTGGTTGGTTGGAAGGTGATAGAAAATCTCCAGAGCAATTAATAGAAATCAACGATTGGTCAACAATTACTGATGATTCTTTGATTGAACAGTTTTGTAAAAAGGTAATTGAAGATCGAAGTACAGTCGCTTTTCTAGTTAGAAGAGGTGATAAACATTTTGTCCACAATTTAGCTCGAAGAGTGAAAATCGCCTGTAATCATAGGATACCCGAAGATCTAATTGTATCCAAATTGTTACAATTAATTGATTCTATCGAAAGACCAACAATGGTTAATTTCGTAGCAACAAGAAACAAAACTTGGTTAAAACGACCTAAATTGTTCACGACTGATAAAAAAGATTAACTTGTTTCTCCTTAATTGTTATGAGATGAAAAAAATTTGTACTTTCTGAAATGGATTTCATTGTAGATTCTGATTACAATAAACAAATTGTTCGCAATTTAGTATTTACAAGTTAATTTTTGATGATTAAAGTGATTCCATTGGATTAATATCCATATTTATCGTTTAGAGCTGTTCTTCCGTCTCCAGTTTGTCCTTTTGGTGGTAACCAGTCAACATAAGCTTCTTGATCAAAGTAATTAGACTTTTCTTTAATTGCTGCTTTAAGTTTATCTGATTTTGATTTATCCGTTTTCTTGATAATTAGTCCAAATTTTTCATCACCTTCGGATGAGGATGCTGATTGTGATGTCGATGGTTTCGGTAGGGGTGATAAAGATGATGAAGATGATGAAGGTAAATTTAAAACTTTTGCTTTGACAGTTTCCTCTGATTCAGTGAATGCTGATGCAGGTTTTTGAATTAAACTCTTCTTGGTTAATGAAATTGCGATTTTTCCTGGTTCTGGTTTGATTGGTTGATTATCACCACTTATAGATGATTGTTTAGGTTTAACGTTTAAGTTAATCTTAATTGTATTAGATGGTTTATCAGTCACAATTGATTGTTTGACACTAGAATTTGATGAGGTGATTGTGCTGCTTGAAGATGAATCATTTTGTACCGATGATTGGGTTGAATAAACTGATTCTAGAGCTGGAAGTGTGAAACTTGGCTTGGCGATTTTAATTAGTCGTTCGACTTTTGCCTGTTCCTTTTCTAAATCAGCGATGGTCATTCGAAGTTTAGATTGTTCTATTTTGACATTAAGAGATGTTTTCATTGGCTTTTCGTCGCTGCTATTGATATCTTCCATAAATGCATCCAGAGCGTCGACATTTTCCTCATCGCCTTCGGGCTTTTTATCCTCCTCGTTTTTTTCATTCTCCGTTGATTTCCTGATACTTTGACTTTTCGTCGCAATAGTTAACGTGGCCGCTTTTACTTTTAACTTTTGTAATTCTTGACTTATCTCTTTCCATCGTTCGTTTAACTTGTCGAAATTAAGTATCTCTTGAATTCCACTTTTGGCTGCTAATTTTTTCGCCTTCTTGTTTTTATATTGATCAGTTTCGTCCATTACTTCATCTTCAGAATCCGAACTATCTTTTTTCTTTCGCTTGAGATCTTTCTGCCTCTGCCAAGGGAATAAAAGTTCAGCTCTGTCCAGAACTTGACAAGCACGAAGGCAAACATTAATCAAAGCATCTTTTTTCTGTTGGAAAGGAAAACAAAAAGTTATTATTTCATATGTTCAAATAGATTGAAAAACACAGAATATAAATTCATCACCTTTGGTGTTGGTTCGCCATCAATTGGTACATCTTGACCATCGAAAGGTAATTGTATGGTACATTTGAACATTCCATTGTTAAAATCGACTTTATATTCGAAATCATAACCCTCAGAGTCGAACCATTGTTCAATTGATTTCTGTGGATTCTCACTGTAAGCGTGTTCATTTGGTGTAGATCCTGTTGCCGAACCACCGCCAGTTTGAAGTAAATATAAAACCTTTCCAAGTGGAGTTGCTTGATCACCTTCACCTCGTTCATCATTTTCATCATCTTCATCATCTTGAAATCCCCATGAACAGCCTTGATCTTCCTTTTCTTGAGCTTCTTTCTCTTATGAACTGCCTCTTCCATTTCCAGTGTTTCCCTTTCATCCTCCTCACTTGGAGTAAGAGTTGTACCCAAAACAAATAAACGGGAACTCGCACCAAATTTTATTATGTCATTACCGGTTTTCACTTTGATTGGTCTATTAGCGGGAATTTTGGCCTTATTCACCATTGTACCATGAGCAGAATTTAGATCGATAAGGAAAAATGATCCATGAGGCCTGTCTTTGGGATTCCAAAGGAGACAAGCATGAAAACGGCTTAAAGATGAATGATCCATTGGAAAATCGGCATCTCGAGAACGACCAAAGATAAGTTTTGGCTTATCAATTTCTTTCCTAAGAATGACAGAACCATTTTTTATCACTTCGATATAAAAAACTCCCTCAGGTACAGGATCACTTGTTAATGCATCAGGAATGACAGGTAAACTTTTATCCAAACAAATCGAATCATTTTTCCCTTCAACTGCGGTGGGAGCTTTAAATTCATGTTGTCCCTCAATTGGATTCACTTTTTCACCACGTTCATCATCAATTTCCATGATTAATCTGTAAAAATAACTATAAACCAAAAAATTAGATTCACAGAAACAGTTTATTATTGAAGTGAGAAACAACAACAATAGGTAAGCTTAAAATCAGAATATTTTTATCCAAAGAACAAAAAAGAAGAACTCAACCGATGGAAACAAACAAACAAGAAGTAAATTCAACTCTATTAAAATAATTTATCGTCGAGAACAATCAATTCAATTAAGAATCGTAATAAAAATCTCACAAAATTAAAAGAAAATTTTTCTCACAATCAAAAACTGTTTACATTTCTCTCGGTCCCTGGTTGTTTCTCCAAAGTGTAGATGTCGCTTTTCTCAACACGTGTTTGGGTCATTCGATTTGAGATTTTTTCATTTTAACTGTTTACATTTTTTTCTCGTTGAAAAAGTGAATTTTTTTCTCTGTTAAATTAACTAATTAATTAGAAAAATGTCTTTAGATTTTTCCGATGGTTCTGGTGACTTTGACGCCGGTGGTGTGATGCTGGACAAAGACTTGCAAAATTTTATCCTTCAAGAACAACAAGTTGCCCAATTCAATGCTCAGGTAAATGGTGATTACAATTTGATTTCCTCTTTTACTTTAATCAACACTATTTATGTTTTTCTTTCTGGCTCTGATTTTCAGGTACACAAATTAACTGAACATTGTTGGGACAAATGTGTTAATGATAAATTAACATCTCGGTTTGATGGTAAAACTGAAACATGCATCACTAATTGTGTCGAAAGATTTATTGATGCATCGGTTGTCATTGCTCAAAGATTTTCATCGAAAATTATGTCGTCCGCTAAGTAATCAATTGGAAAATTAGAGAAAATGATGGTTGATAATAAAGAAGAGAAAAGAATCCAGAAAACCAGGAAAACGTTTCGTCAAAACAAAGACAAAATGGAGAACAATAAGAGAAAGTATTAATAGAAAAATCAACAATCGATTAACACAATAAACATTCTTACCTTAAATTGCTCATTGATTCAAACAATTTATTTATAATCCATTCTCATTTAAAGGTAAACAGAATTTGCAAAAAAATAGAAAATTTTAAAAATCAAAACTTGATTCCAAGAAGACCAAAAGAGTCAATGGTTCGATTCATTGGAAAATTTTTCTTTAATTCAAATCGGTGCTACGTGCTAATCGTCCGATTGTCATTAGATCTCAATTAATACGTTACCTGAGTGTTTCTCCATCATCATCATCATCATCAACAACAACAACAACCACCGATTCATCAATAGTTTCATCATCACCTTTACCTTAACACGATGAACAAATTGTTGACAATTGTATTAAATATAAACCAGTTTTCGAGACATTGATTGGCTTAATTGTCTCGTGTAAATTAAATGTTTCATTAAAATTATTTTCTCGACCATCATTTGGTACAATCAAGAGAACCGATTGCTTCAAATGGTTTTATTAAAGTACCAATTGTTTACCGTGCAAATGATTCTGGTCACTTGAAAACTATTGAATGTAAATCGATTCATTTAGAGGAACATGTTGGATCAATTGATTGTAATCATTTACTACAATTTGATGGTATCAATTTAAATTCTCGTGGTCTTGCATTGGTCAAATTCGTATTCAACCCTTCGGACATTACACCCAAAGAATCAATCAGTTTGGTCAATGAATTGTTACTAATAATTGTTGAGAGGTTGGTACATCTCGACCATCCATTGTCTGGTACATATCATAGCTCTCGTTATCAATTAACAATTAATCAACAATCTAAATAGTTACCAACTGAAATTATTCAATTCAATTGAATTGATCGTTCAAAGAAAGGAAATCAAAATTAGTTGTCAATTAAGATGCGAAAACAATTAAAATTTAACCTTTCGGGATGACATTTCATCTCTAAAATGAATTAAAGAAAACGATAATAACAATAATAATGGTTAATTTGTAAATGATAGTGAATTAACTGATCCTCTCAAGCAATAATTAATCCTTCTGAATCATCTTAATCACTCAAATCAGTTTACCGTTAAATCACCGTAATACAAATTACCATGATAATTACAAGTCTCTCTGTCATCAAGATATAATATTAATACCATAAAATAAGACTATCAATTATTATGAATTTGGGAAAAAAATAATGAATATATTTAATTATTATCATGATTAAAATGTTAATTAACATTTTCAGGCCCTGTTGTTAACTCTTGAAGGGTTACGAACTCAATTACAATTAAAGTGACAAGTAAATTGTTGGGATGCAAAATTTGTTGAACCAGAAAAAGAAACATCAACAATCAACATTATTCAACTTTAAATTGTCGATAATCATGATTACAATTAGTTTTAATTCGGTTATTTGGTGGGAACAATTAAACATTTTTAAAGAAAATTATCGTTACAATTGGTTAACAAATCACTTGACAATTAACAATACAAATGATCAATTGACCTTTTATACTGATAAAATTGCTATTTTAATCAACGAATTAAATTGTTTGATTAAATTAACCCAACAATGACCATGATCTTTAATTATAATTAACGTTTTTATACTATTAACAATTTAGTAACCACTCACCATAATGATTATGTAAATTACACCCAAATAGAAAAAAGTTAAACACCTTTTAATTGTAATTAGATCAAAACCTTAATTGTAACAATTACGTTTTTCGTTACTACTACTGTTCAGCAATTAACTTGAAGATTTTTGTTCATTCAATTTTCTTGATTGTTGCCTATTGTTAACTGTTGGTTAACCTTTGATTAGCTATCATTTTATGAATCAAGATACCAAAATGTTATCATTTAAATTGTTGATTTAACTTTTAAATTGTTATAATAATTGAAAGTGGACTTGAGATTTTTTTGCCAACAATTAACATTTTTAGGTTAATAGCTAATTAAGTGTAATACTAATAATAATCAAAATATGAGCCATGATAGACTGTAGTTAATTTTAGTGATCAACAATCAAAATATATTATAAAATTTCATTACAATTTGTATGATTAACTTAATTGTTTAACTTGAGGTTAAAATTTTCTTTCACTAATCAAACCAATTGATTGGCAAAATAACAACAAAAAGATGGAATCAAGATGAAGAAATGAAATCAATTTTATTATAACAATTAAATTGCAGAATTGAAGAAAATTTTACAACAATTGATAATAAATTGTTCCGATAGAAAAATTTAAATTGTTATATTAATCAAAATAACAACAATTAACTACGATTCTTGGTTGTATGAAGTGAGTGTGTTGATGAAATTCAACAACGATCATTTTTGATGAACATATTACAACGTTGTCTAAATTGTTACTGATATTAAATCGTTGGAACAATTAACACAAGGTCGAATCGTAATTTGATAACTAAATTAATGTTAATTATTGACTAATTGTTGGAAATTAAAATGACAACAACAAAGTTAATTGTGAATAAGTTAAAACAAGGACAAGAAATTATCTTGTACCAAAGGCAAAAAAATCAAATTGTTTACACAATTTACGTTGGAGTTAATTGTGGTTAATTTAAATTTAATTATAACAACAATTATCATCAATCAGACCTTAACCTTCAATATTATTATGATGAAAATTAATCATCAATAGAGAGACTGATGATTGATTGATTAAATTGAGAAAAAAATTTTCTGTCTTCTTATTTCTTCATCTTCCTTTCAACAATTAGTTAATTCAGTTGTCTTGAAAACCTTCATTTTGCCTTCAAATTGGATTACAATTTAATATTATCAATGGCAAGAATCAACAATCAAGACACCAATTTATCAAAAAATCGGCTAACTATTCAACTGAATATATTACAATTAGTATATTAATCAAATGAAAAATCCTTTTGTCTAATACCAATCAATATGTTATATTAATTGTTTCCACAAACTGTTAACCTTTTTGTTTTCTAATCATGATAACAATTAATGAAATGAATGACAATTAAGGGCGATAGTGAAAAAAGAAAATCGAATTTTGTAAAAAACAATTGATTTGTAAATTCTAATTGTTTATCAAAATGTTAACGATTCGTTTCAGGGTTTCAATTGTTCAACTCTTTTACAAGTGTATATTAGAACTCTGAAAGTTAATTGTTCTTGACTACTGATGATAATTAGTATCGAAAAAGTTACTTTGAATCCAAGCACCTTCACCCATTCAGCTCTTAATTCAGAATATGCAAGTTCAGTTGGTGATAAAAAATGCTATCGATTATCGGAAAAGGTGCTGAATCTTATTGTTTCAAGTTCATAGGTTATAATTAATATCTGTTGGGTTCAATTGAAAATTAACACTGCAGGGTAGATGACTAAGAATCTTTTTATCATTGAAAATTGGGACTGACCTCCTGGTACTAATGATGAGTGGCCAACTCGACGTCAAGGCCTCGTTCACATTTACTGGGTGACAATTAAGTAACGCAAAACTTTTTTCGGCCATAAAAGTTGTACCTTTGATACGATCTTGATCAAATTTTGTAGATGTTTTGTTAAAACAATAGGAAATCTAATGAATATATTTTCAAAGCTCCTACCACAAGACAAACCGGTGTGATTAGACTTTAAACAGAAAAACACCTCAAACAACAGAGTTTTCCGGTTAATTTGTAACCCCTTTAAAGTCGATTCTCTGTTGATTGATCACATTTGGCGCAGATACTGAAGCTAAGTGAGCTGATAGCCACTCATTGCGAGATAAAAACTCAAAATTTGTCTTGGTTTAGCTGCTTTAGATAGGCCAGCCGGCAAAAGACCATTCACTTTTTGTCACTTGCTTTGGTATCTAATTGAGATCCTAGAATTTTGAAAATATACACATTGGTTTTCCTATTGTCATGACCAAACATCTACAAAATTTGATCAAGATCGTATCAAAGGTACAACTTTTATGGTCGAAAAAAGTTTTGCGTTACTTAATTGTCACCCAGTACTTCAAGAAATCGATAGATGCTATCTTTGACTTATGCAAATAAGCAGCACGTGCTCATTTATTGTCAATACAATTTTATTGCAAAAAGATTCTTTTTCTCCTCTTGAGCTGATACTTGGATATTACGTTAATTCAAACCGGAAACAAAATGATATTGAGTGCTTGAAATATGAAAATTATGAAATTATTAAATTTCAAATGAATAAAGAGAACTGCTGAGCTTTGGCTCATTTAATGAGTTTCATCAGTTTATTACTACTCACGGAAGTTATGTGAATATATTTAGACCTGAGAGACAATTAGTTGACAAATAATTATGATTGTGCCGAGTTAATGAGTTACTTTCAATTAATAGCTGAGGGAAAAGTTTTTGATTCAGTTGAGTAACTAAATTGAATGTGTTGATACAATTTGTTTGACGATCTCCATTCCCCATTGAAATTGATCAGTAATAAGTTAATATAATTGTGAGCAATTTAATTGTTTGAAACGATTAATTGTGAAGTAAGAAACATTTTAAAATAATTAATCTGATTGTGAACAATTAAGATCTGAAATAAACATCCTGAAACATGAATTAATTGAGATTTAATTGATAAGCTCAATCAAAAGTAAATCAATTTATATATATATAAATTGTGATTAGTATTTAAATTAAGTATCATGATTAAGATGATCAGTTATACATAATCCTGTATTCTCACGCAATTTAACTAAACCAATACTGGATTAATTGTGAATAGATTTTAAATAATTAGTGGACAGACTACTCTTCATGTTTGTGATTAAAACTATTCAAGTTTGATTTTAATCATTTTGGATGCGGACAATCAACAAGATTAAATTACAATCAGCAATTAATTAACTTTGATTAAACTTGAATGACAACAAGATCAAGTATCAGGTAAGTTGATTGATAAACAATTAAAAGCCCAATTGATTTTAGCGTTAACAATTTAACTAATCATCATCATCATCATCGCCAACAATTTATCGTTGGTGATAATAGTTAATAAAATAAACTAAAAATAACGGTAAATTTAATT